ATTTTTGGCAGTCTTATGAGACACAGGCAGGAAGTTTCCTTAAGGAGCTGGTAGTGGGCCAGGTAGTAAAGTTAAAATGCCATGTAAAGGAGCACTGGTTCAAATGACTGCCTTGCTAATGGAAGAAACGATGCAGTAATTTTCTGATGATTTTCACTAGCCCTTCTAATGAAAACATTTTGGAGGACGCTCAAGAGATGAACGCAAGCAGTACATGTTTTTTGATTGCACCACTTGGGATAAATTTGTCAGCATGTAATGTAGATGATTTTTTAATCTTTTGTTTTCTTTCATACTGTACAAAGAATCCGTAAGTCAGTCATTAAAAAAGCCAGGTACTTGCATGATTCCGTGGCATACAAACATTTCTTAGATGAAAAGGAGAGTGACATTTAATTGGCGAAATCAGTGTTTGTTAAAGTGACATCATCAATTGAACAATCCCATTTTGCTACAGTAGTTACCCCAAAGATTATTAAAATGAAGGAAGATGGAGAAAAAATATTTTTCTCTCTTTATTCAGATCCTTTGTGTGTTTGACATCACTTTGCACAAGGTCAGTTTCTCTGTTCCCCACATAATCAGTGAGGCACATCTTGCAAGGAGACCCTTTATCTACCTGGAGCTCCATTGATTGCAAGGGTCTATCCGTGCCTGTCTAATCCCAGGACCAGAGCTGTCATTAGTCAATTTCTTGTTGCTGAAAAGGCTCATATAAATGTGAGCTGGGAAGCAGTCAAGAAGCCCTTCTAAACATTTTCCCTTGGATTTTTTTAAATCAGATCATACTGTTTCAAGGGTGCTGTCAGAAAGCAGAATTCTTTCTAAGGCCTGGTCTACACTAACACCCCAATTCGATCTAAGGTACGCAACTTCAGCTACGTGAATAACGTAGCTGAAGTCGACATACCTTAGTTCGAATTTACCGCGGTTCAGACGCGGTCCACACGCGGCAGGCAGGCTCCCCCGTCGACTCCGCGGTACTCCTCTCGCTGAGGTGGAGTACCGCAGTCGACAGCGAGCACTTCCTGGTTCGACTTATCGCATCCAGACCAGACGCGATAAATCGAACCCGGAAGTTCGATTGCCAGCCGTCGAACTACCGCAGTAGTGTAGACCTGGCCTTAGTCAGTCACTTTTAAATATTCAAGTTGACAGAGTTTCTTTCCAAAAACATAAAAATAAAAACAGCTTCTGCCAATCTTACATCAATAATTATGCTCTTTTATTGCTGGTGCTGTTTCTTTTGCTGTCTAAATGGGAGAAACTGGAAAGGCCAAAAGCATAAACAACCTAAGAATGCGGACGGGAGTCCTCCAAGGTACCTCAGTGTGGTATGAAAGTGGATTGCACAGCTGCCAGTGATGGTTGAGAACATGAGCACTAAAAGCTTTCCAAGGACTGCACACTGTGCTCTAGTTCAACAGATTAAATATTGGCGACTGGGTCTTCCACCAAATGTTTGGAATGCAGTAAGGTGAGAGGAGCAGGGCCGGTGCTACCATTAAGGCGAACTAGGCAGTTGCCTAGGGCACCAAGATTTGGGGGCACCAAAAAG